AGAATCATTACATTGTTTTTTGGACTTGCAAAATATCTATACAGCTTGACATCAGGAGTTATGATAAAATGTCTTTATTATTATTATTTTCAGGACTTGAATGTATTCCATGCTGTGTTAGCCTTCTGTGTCTTGAAGGAAGGTTTATGTGACTTAAGTTTTCCCTGTAGTAACTCAAGTGACCTCGTGCTCCTTTCTGTTACCTATTTTCTTTGGGGAAACCAGTGTTAAGTTACATTAAAACAGTCACTGTAACTGGAATCTGTGTGTAACAGTGAATGTTTTTCTTTCTTTTTTTAAAGATGAAAAGTAAAGAAAGTCTAGAGTCTGAGGAGTGTGGAAAATGATTATGAGGGGGTTTGTGGTTTGTTTCTTTTCTGTTTTTTTCAGATGATGGTCCTTCTTTACCTACAAGGCAAAATGAAGAATTTCGGCCTTTCATTAGAAGGCTCCCAGAGTTTAAATTCTGGTGAGTGGATCTATCCATGCTCTGCTTCTGAAAAATAGAAATACCTGCATCAAATCAGTGGTAGCTGGGGTTGAAGGATTAATTGTTAATATTATTTTTAAGGCACTCTGCCACTAAAGGAATCCTGGTTGCTATGGCATGTACGTTCTTTGAGGCTTTCAACGTTCCTGTTTTTTGGCCAATCCTTGTGATGTACTTCATTATGCTTTTTTGTATCACTATGAAGAGGCAAATCAAGGTAACTTTCTGAAAACAGAGTAGCATTTGTCATGTCAGATTTACAGTATTGTTACAAACTGTCCATCCAATTGAGCATGTTAGAGGTATAAATTGTACTGCACGTGCTTCTTTTACTGGAGGAACTTAAACAGCTAACAGTTGAATATTAGTTCAGGTGTTGAATATTTGCAACTTTGGGCAGATATTGACAATGGGAAATAAAAATGCTTTGTAGAAAAAGTCTTCATGCACCACCTCACAGAATCTTATGCTTGCTTTCAGAAGTTTTCGGTCGTAGAATTCAGTATCTGCTTTTTACACATGAGGAGTCTTAGTTTCCCGCCCACTTCCTTTCTTCAGTTAGCTGTGGCTGTTTTTAATGAAGAGGTCTTGTAGGATCTCTGATGGGTGAAAAGGGAAGTTCTGACAAGTTGGTGCGAGAGGGTAGGTGAAAAAAAGGGGAAGAAGAACACAGGCAAGTCATTCACACCAGTTTTAACAAATTACTTACGGTTTGTTGGCATTTTAAAAAGAACCAATTTCTTTCCCAGACACTCAATTTTGGCTAGGTAATGTTCTTCAAAGTTACCCATTAAAGATTAAAGGGTCATAAGGAATTAATACCTCTGTGCTTTATCCAGTTTACTCATTAGGGGAATCACAGGAATCTTCACTACTGTAAAATTGTTGGGTATACCGAAGTTTGAGGTTTAAAAGACTGCGCTCGTACCCCTGTTTCGATGTAAACTGATGTACAGTTAGGTATTTCTTTACCTTTACAATGCTGAAGAACTGTCTTTCTAGAGGGCTTTGTAGTTTACAATGTGTAGTATAAAACATTTTTATAAATATTATATAAGTTCCTTGCCTGAAAGATTGTTCTTTTCTCTTTACAGCACATGATAAAGTACAGATATATACCCTTCACACATGGCAAGAGGAAATACAAAGGGAAAGATGATGTTGGAAAGACCTTTGCTAGCTAGAAGATGCAATCAACCTGTTGACCAGTTCTACTTCTAACTAAAGGAACGATTTTGAGCCATTGTAACAATGCCTTTTTTCTTCATAAAAAATGATTAAGAGTGGTGACAAAACAGTTAAATTTTTGTTTTAAAGGATTGTGCTATTTTTATCTGAAATATCAGTTTCTTGAAGAAACTGGCATTCTAACCAAATTGCATTGAGTTTGTTATCTTTTGTAAGCAGTTGGAAAAACTTTGGATAATCCCATAGATTTGGGATAATGTATTCCTTTCAAGATCCATTGCACTGGAGCAATTAATGGCTTAGAGTTGTGTATTTTTACTTAGTTCTCCTGCTCAGTATCACCCTGAAGTGCTGTGCACATATCTGGAGGAAAAATATACAGTGGCACACGTGATGCTGTTTTCTGCTTCATGGCTGTGTGCTATTTTCATAAGACAAATTCAGCAGACCTAAATAGATGCAGAACTTAAGCCAGTTTCCTAAATGCATGGTATTACAGAGTTATAACCAAATAAATATAGATAGGAATAAGAAATTACAAATTTACAGAGTTTGCAGTAGGGAAAAGATACTCATAGCTTCTCAAGTAACTCGTTTGTGTTGGGTTTTAATGCCAGTTTCACCATGACATCTCCTTGCAGATGCTAAAATTGGGCTCTTTCATGATGACTCAAACTTTGTCCAAAATCACAACTTACTTTGAGGACCTGGAATTATAAGAATATATATTTTAATTGTTACTAGTTGGAGTTTCTTTCATACTTAAGGATTTCTTGATTAATTTAAGCTGACTTCATGCAGCCCCTTCAGAATATACCCAAACTGGCCATAGCAGGTAAATGGTGTGGGTTTTAACACAGCTTTTCATTTTCTATGGGGAAAAAAAAGAATCCTAGATAAAAGACCTGCATGTAAACTTTTTCATGTGATACAGCTGCAGTTTTATTAAGTGAATTTTTAATTCCAAAATTTATTAAAAGACAGTATCCCCCTTTACTTGTTCTCTATCTTTATATACATATATTGACCTGACAGTATTTATGGCTCCTTCTCAGTAATCGTTACCCTTAATTTATCTTCATGAACTGCCTTTTTCAACTCTTCAGGGAGTATTCAGTGGCAGAAAGAAGGAAAAGACTAGCTTTGAAGATTCTGCATGGAGAACAGTGGCAACTTCAACAGACACCAAAGTGGAAAATACATGTAGGAACCCTTTCATCTGATTTTTGTCAAATGTATTTGTTACGGAGCTCTGGAATTCAGTGTTCAGTAATCCTGGGTAGTGACAGGCACTTTTAGTTCACATTGACCTGTTGCTTTTTGTTTGGTTTTCATGTGTTTCATTAGCAGTGTGGAAACCAGTAATGGTAAAACTTGAAATTATGGAAACACATTACCAGAAAGGGCCTTATGAAGTCCCAGTCATGGGCGCTTGGAGCTTGTTGCCTGAAAATCTGAAAGCCCCAAGTTGGAGATGCTGTCTTAGGTTTGCTGGAGTTCCTGAATAATATAGCCAAATTGGGGAGAAAAATATACTTATTATGTTGATCAGTTATCAGCAACTGGGATGACTCCTATGTTCAGTCAATGCCATCCATTGCAAATCAGGCATTTTTACCTCCACTTGATTTTGAACGTCAGTGGCAGTTTGAGAAAAACGCCTGCTCATTCTCAGGTGGGCGAAGGTGCTCTGCATTCAGTGGGATTTACACTTTTCAAATAGGGATTGTAGGTGGTGCTGGGACAAGGGCATAGTTCCCTGGCTGACTCAGCATGCAAGGGCCCCATAAGCTTGATGGCATTTTGTTAAACTTTGCTCTATTTTTATCACTTGCAAGTGCTAAAAATAAATTACCCTTATGGAATGCACAAAAAACTTGGCTTGACAACTTCACAGATGCTTCCCAGTCATCGATTGTTTCCTATGTTGTTTACAGTGCAATTGAATGTGTGTTCTTACCGTTCTCTTAGTAAAGAGATGAGGCAGTGGTTTCCTTAGATAATCATGTTTTGATTTATGATAAGGAGCATTTCTCTCCCACTGTTGCCTTGATGGTTTTAGGTTGGCAAAGGACCTGAAAGTGTTCTGGTGTACAAAGGGGATGCTGTTGCAGCTCTGAAGATCAAGTTTGTACAGTAATGAAGAAGTGTTTGCACAGATACCAGCAACTGTTTATTTCATTTATAGTTATGATGAAAAGTTAAAGTAATTTGGGGGTGTTTTTGTGATAACACTTGGAGATTTAATGGTTAAGTAGCTGAGCAAGATCTCTGCAGTACAAATAACCATCTTAAAAGAAGTGCTTTTACTGTAGCACGCTTCCCCTGCTACCCCAAGTTCACATTCAGTGCCATTCGTGAAAGACTTACTGAAATTGTAACTCACAATCCACAGCGTGGATCGTCTGGTGTTTTCTCCCCATCTGTATTTAAAGAATACAAATCAATCAGTCTTGCACATTATCTGTTGTGCAGGAATGACAGGATTTCAACTAATAATTGTCTTTTTCCCTGCTGCTCAGATACTTGTAAAACTGAATTAACTTATGGGAATAAACCTTGAGGTGGTGCTGCCAAATCCTCTCTCCTTTATACTCTGAAATACTGGCTTGGCTAAATTGCCCTTACTGCCATAAAGAGCAGAGGGTATCTCGTGGCTGAAATCAGCTTCTTTCCCATGTTAAGACTATAGAATACCACATACCATACAGCCAAACTTAAGCTGTGTTACAAACTTAACATTTTACAGTTGAGTTTAGTGTACATACTAGGGCTTTTCTGAAACAACACTTGTTACATTGCTATAGTCTAAGTGTCTAGAATACTTGGTGAGAAGTCTTTAGTATCTAATAGTGGTAGAAGAGCTTTGATTGATGAGTGTGCAAATTAGTCTGTCTTATGGGGGGGGGGGTGTTTATTACCTGCTTCTGTTATCTAGAAGAAAGTCATGGTTTGTCACACCAAGGAAACCTGCTTTATTGTTAATCTGTTATGAAGACAGAATGGTACATGTACATTTATCATCAGAACTTCCACTGCAGTTAAACTAAGGATCTGTCCAGCTCTTGTTCTTTTCCCCTGAAGCCCACAGCATGGAATCATATTACGGGAGAAAGGGAGTCTTACAAATCACAGAACTTTACTGATACCTTAGGCATGCTATGAAAGGTTGGAAGACCCATTATCTACACTTTAGAGAATGAGAATCTGATTGAAATTTTTCATTGTCCAAAGTGAAGAAAACTTTTACATTTGTGTTACACGCTTTTTAGAGAAATGTCTTTTTAATACAGTCAAGAACCATGTTAGAAGGATGGAAAGGTAGAGGCAGAAATACATTTATTCTGTACAGCAGGAATGAAGTGCCGCTTTGCACAGGCAGTTACCAGTTTTAATAAAAGTCTTTCTCTTGGACTAACTCAAACTGTATGACAACTTTATAAAGGGTATGAGACCTGAGGCCGTTGTCACCAAACAGCAGATTTCCTTTAGAGTTGATAGTGACGTAGGTAGATTAGTTTCTGAGGATGAAACTTTTCTCTGCACAGTGGACATTCTGTCTGCAAGAAGAAAAATTAAGACATTCTGAATTGCTGTTTAAAAGTTTAGGGAAAAAAATACAAGTCTTATGTCTTATTCCACAGTGTCTATAAAATCATTAGTGGATGAAAACTGTTGTATTTCATTAATCCAGAGCAAAATCAAAGATTAAAATACCATGCACAAGAGCTAGCTCAGTTTGGCTGTAACTCAGGCCTTTTTACTGGAAATCAGAATGATCTCCAGGTCTGTAGATGGAGAAATCGCCTCCATGTCTGGCTTCCACAGTAGTTTTGATTGTGTTTCAGTGGTTGGGATAGAAAACTGCTCACCTTATTTACCTCTTCTATGTAATGTATAGTCATTCTGCTCTAACAAAATCTATACGCCCTGGCAGACTCGCACGTGGGCTTTTGGGTGCCTTAGTGAGAGAAAGGGTGTTACTTCAACACCCAGGCTGGCAGGCATGTTCAAGTAGAAATTTCAGTACTTACTCTGGTGTTACACCACTCCGTGATGCATTCCCAGCAGAAGAGGTGGCCACAAGGAGTGGCTGTTGTATGTCTCCGTTCTTCCAAACACAGTGTGCAGCGGGAGTGGCGCCCAGGAGTCCTCTCATTGGTCATATTTCTAGTTAACATAGTTATATGTTAGTTAGTTCTATTTAGCCTGCTTTAATAGCACAATCCTAAAGTAAACTCTCTCTTCAAGTATTAAGCCTTTTTTGTGAAGATCTCGGAAAACATGAAAGCAGTGAGGAATTCAAGTATCTTACCAGGTTCTAACCTAGCCAAAGCTGTCACTCCGGTTATGGAGTGACAGTAGCTCCCTGTTCAGGAAAGCTGCTACATTTCCCACCCTTGCATCCACCTCTTCCCTAGTAAGTGAACACCATCGTACTTCTGATGAGCTAGGCTGCGGTGTAGTTTCCATTCCTGCCTTGCTCTCTGCTTCTGTTTGAAGCTGTACATCTGAACACCAATTGTTAGAAGAAGATGGAAGAGTGAAATGATTCCAAGAAACTTGTAACTTGATCGAATGCTCTCATCTTCTTGCAGTCCTCCAAAGTGCAGCTATATAATCCACAGAAATAGAGATTTTTTTTGTTACTGCAATTTGATGAAATTATAAACACGCACACACCACCCATCAATAACCATGATTTGGGATTGTCATGTCCCATGGAGTTATTAATGTGACTTCTCACTGTGTATTTGCAGGAGACACACTGGGCTGCTGTTCTGAAGTTACACAAGGTGTTAAGTTCTGACTGCACTCATGTTTACTAGCCATAACCTTTTGGCTGCAGGGACTCACAACCCCTCTACATGGTATTAAAAATACCCTCTCACCCCTACCGCAATCAACTGTAGCCAAATCCTGTATCATTTTTGCACACACAGCATCCCAGAAGAGACTAAAATACTGCAGTGGATGCTGTCTTCAAACAAATACTTACATATGTGATCCCTGCGATTCTTTTAGAGAGGTGATAAAAAGTGCCACTTATGTAGAACACTGCCAGATGCAGTCGATGAAGCAAAGGAATGCTTTGTTTAAGAACATACACGATCTGTAGGACTCTCTTCTTCTGCTGCTCTGTAAGATCCCCAACTTGCCTCTGTATCCAGCTTCGTATTAAGGTCCTACTGGGTAAGCCAAGTGCTGGGTTGCTCTGTAAGGTGCTGGACACATCAGCTTCTGTCTGCAGCTCGTGTTCCAGGTGCTGTAATCCCTTTTCTAAGCAGTAAGGTACTACAGTATGAAGAGCAACAAAGACAGCCCGTCGAAGAAAGGCAGGTACCCTTTTCTTGGTTGAGTCAACTTGAACAATGTTAACGTACTCTTCACCCAGCGTCTGGTAACCTGAATAGTGTTCGCAACAGAGGACATGCAGGGTAAGATGGCAACTGCAGTGGGGACAGGCTGCTCAGGTCAGAACCATCGGGGTTTGGGGTTTCTGAAGCGCTCAATGAGGTGAGCGCTCTGCTTACCTCAGCATCTGCAGCAGCCCTGTCTGCAGTGGGTTTAGGCTTAAAGCAGGGGTGCTTTTTCAGTGTCCTGCATCCCTTTTTAGAACAGACTAGTTTGTTTCTAAAGGACATCCTTATTTACAGGAACATCTGTCTGGGTTGATAACTGCCGCATTTGATCTCCAAGTTCCAGCAGCTGTGTGGCTTCGTAATTACTAAAGGCATTTGTACAAAAGCAATCCAAGCAAACCCCCCGCTTAAGAGAACCCCTGCCGGGCAGTGTCATTCCCGCTGCTCGTCCCAACAGACAGCGCTTTCAGCACTGGGAAGAAACGCTAAACACGAAGTTAGGCGCGTTACCTGACAGCGTGGTGAGGACGAAGTAGGCTACATCAGAGAGCAGCTCCACCTCCTTCCTCCACTGCAGCCACTGCCTGGCACCTGCGGGACGGGATCACTGCGTTACGCTGCGGTAGTTCGTGCCGATCCAAGCCCTCCTACGGGAATTTCCCGCCGCTGGACCCGTGAGGGAGAGGGGGGGAGGCGGGGGGGGCAGCTCGGATGCCGCCCGGCGCGGCCCCTGGGCAGGGCTCGGGATGGAGCCCCGGGAGGCGTTACCCGCGGCCCCGTGCAGCGCGGTGCCGGCCGCGGCCCGCAGCCCGCTCCGGTAGAGCTCGTCCTTCTGCCCGCCCCGCACCAGGCGCGCCGGACCCGCCACCGACCCCGCCATGGCGGGCGGCGCATCCCCGTGACGTCATTGCCGGCCGCCCGCGGGGAGGAGCCTTCTGAGGGGCGGGAGTCACAGCTCCTCCCCCCCCCCCCCCCCATCGCCACTCGGTGCCGCCCGCTCTGGGGCTGTCGCCTTCGGGCGGGCTCTGCACCGGAAGCTCCGGTCTCCGGCCGCCTCCCAACCGCGGCTCCGGCCGGGCGGGCTCCGCTCCCGTGCCCGGGCTCCGCTCCCGTGCCCGGGCTCCACTCCCGTGCCCGGGCTCGGCTGGCAGCAGCTCCGCCCTCCGGCCGCCTTCCCCAGCGCGGCTCTGGCCGCTGCCGCCGAGCAGGCTGGCCCGAGCTCGTCCCCTCCGCCCTGAGGGGAGCCGGAGAGCCGGGCTGCCGCTGGCTGAGGTAAATGGAGGCGGGACTGGGAGAGAGGATGAGTGCAGAGAGGCGTAAAGAACTTAGCGGTATTTCTGGTGTTGCTGTGTCTGGTTGCGGGTTTGCTTAGGGAATTGAGGGCGGACTCCTCTGGTGACGGTTGATGTAAAGCTTATTGCCCCTTGGAGAAGGCCAGAATCCCACCGCCTGGCTGTGCCACTTGTGACCAATACTTAACAAAGGGGAAAAAACGGAAACCTTTGTGGTATGCTCCCTACAGCCAAAGGCAGCAGCACTAGAAGAGTGAAGTGCCCACGCGTGTCCTGAACTCTGATGCATTCCTTTTGCCAAAAGGCGGGATTGTTTTTTTACCAGGTTTTAATATGTAGTCGCAAATTCAGGTCTGCAACGTGTTCCAGTGAAGTGAAGTGAAGCAGTTCTGCCATGGAGCTGGTTTGTGACAGAACTGCTTGCACCCGGGTTAGAATAGGTGTTTTGCAGAGGAGTTTGCAGACTAATACTGCAGTAACTCACCTGAAGGTAACGTGAAAGAGCAGGAGCTTGTGCTTGTTCCTTCTCAGTGCTGAGAAGCAGAAGGAAAGGCTTCCTACTGCCAGCTACCACCACAGCTAACCTGGAGGTTTGTAGCGCTTTAGTTGTCTGCAGGCTGTTATTACTGACACAGCTTGTGACAACAGAGTTCTAATTTAACGGCGCCAGAAGTTGTGAACCCGAAGTAAAGCTGTGGAATCTTACACAGTAATGTGTTCCTGTCCCTGCCTGCTTGCCCCAGGTAAACCTCAGGGGTTATTTGCTAGTGTATGGAAGGGTGTGTAGCGTCAATGTTCCACCTGCCCTATGGAACCCTGCTGTATGGAAGGGTGTTTAGCGTCAGTGTTCCATCTGCCGCTATAAAATCAATGCGATTAAGGAACATTAGAATGTTTTATTTAGTCAGACAGTAGGTGGAGCACCTGCATAAGACAATGTCCAGTAAGTAGTGGGATATGGGATGTGAATGATATGGGGGAGTTAGGAGCAAACAATGATGTCTTGTTATTGCTGCTAAGGTGGTTTAGGGTGATAACTGCTTGCTTGTGAAGAGCTCTTAGAGAAGCTGATTAGGGTTCCAGGTATAATTTCTCATTAGTGCTCTGTTAGATACATGTTTTACAAATGTGCAGGTTAAACGTGTGTTGTCATTTTACTCAAGTGGGTAAATATGGTTTTCTTGTTTTATAGGTCAAGAAACCAAAAAAGAGCTCAAGAGACCTTTTTTGCAAAGCTGCAATTCTGGCTGATGAACATGCCATTATTAGATTGGAAACCATTTCTGAAGCTGTATTTACTAAAACAATAACCTGGCACTTTTTCCTAACCTAATATGAGGCAGTTCAATGTATTAAGCTGAAAAACCACAGCAGTCATCCCTCGAGGACCTGAGACTCTAATACCTTTCAAATGTTGCCTGCTAACCTGGTGAAAGTCTCTTGAATACACTGTATCATGAGGATTATTGATTACTGGCCCAGTATGAACTTTTACCAGTGTGATGGTTCAACTGAAACTGGAGGTGACATGGTAAAACCCCCCGGGATCGACATGACTAATTGTTCCCTTCATCACATTCAGCCAGATGAGACTAATGTTAGCTGTTACACAGCGATCTGTGAGAAAAATCTGTTTGTTCTACTTTGTATCCGATTGATACGGGAACTACAGAAAACTGCCATATCTCAAAATTCAGCTGCTAGGTTTTACTTAAGCTTTTGCAGGACAGATTTCTGTACCGACTCATTTCCCTTGCATGGATCCTATTTTTCCTCCTAACAGACCCGATTAGGGAGTTGCTTCTCTGGCGTTAACAAGGAAGTCCAAAATGTAAAGCAAACTGAGAGCACAGTAATGATTAACTTTTCCTCCCACATGTAGCTTGTCTGTGCATTATTAAATATGGTTTTAGCTCTGCAGACCTGTTAGTATGGAAGAGGTTTGGAGTGCAGCTTTCAAACACAGCAAGAGGCAGATGTTTCAGTTTCCAACCTGAAGAACAGGTTCTGCAGATGTAAAAGGAGGGAAATGCCTGTTCAGGATTGTTACCACCCTCTGATTCCTTTTGCCTCCTCCCACTTTGAACTTGTTACCCTGGAGCTGAACTGTTTGAATAAGGACTGTAAGAGCTGCTTTGTGATCAGTGAGCTGAGAGCCCTTAACATGTAAAATGCAGGGCGGAGCCTTCGCTCTGAGACTTGGCACTTTCCTCTCTCCTTTTATTTTTTCCACGCTTATGAAGGTTCCGATGCACCGTGCAGAGAAGCTCGAACATCTCGTCTGCACTGCCCAGAGAGGTGTGTGGGGTTTGGTTTGCTTTCATTTGCTGCTTTTTCTCTTTCAGGAATCATTTTGGTGTACTTTTAACATTTTTGCTTGCTCTTAGAAGTTAGTAACAAATTCTATAATCCGCTACCACAGGGGTGAATATACATACATACATCTTTAGAACTGCAACAGTTTGCTGCTTTTGCCTTTACGGAAGAGAGACAACGAAAAGAGCATGATGTCTAACGCTTGTTTTATTTGGTCATGTTTTCATTTGTTGATGAGAATGTTCAGGAGCCGTGAGGTTCTGTTAGTCCTAAGTTTTTTAGATTTTCTGAGCTTTATAGGGATGAAAAACTGCATTTGTAATCTAAGTTTAGACTTGTCTAACTGGGCAACTGCTTTCTTCAGGGCTTACACACTTGCTCTGGAACCATAACCTGAGCCTGGAGCTTTCACAGGTATCCTAAGCCAGAACTAAACCTGACTTGGATAAGAGAAGTTGAATGTAAAATGAACTTTCTGAAGTTAAATGAAATACCAGTTAGGTGATCTAACCTGGCTGGCTCCATGACTGCAGTTGGGAAGTCTTCACATGACCCTTCAAAAGGGTGTGCATTGTTTGGCTTTTTTTTTTTTTTTCTCCCAATCATTGTTTTGGGCTGTGGAGAAGGAATTTTCTGTTCTTCCCTGGCATAAAAATGTGGTTTATGATTGCAGAGATAGGGCAAATAATAAGGATGCCAAACTGTGAGTGCATTCAAATGCCTTGGGCTCCGAAGTCTAGATGTAGGTCGTGATCACATTCCCAAATACGATGGGTGATAATCCCTAGCATCCTGGTTTGTTTCATGTCAGAGGCAGGTTCAACTGTTTAAAAATAAGATAGAAGTGGAGTAAGTTTCACTGCTGACTGTGATAAGTTTGAGTCAGGAGATTGATGCTGTCTTCAAAATCTATCTCAAAGTTAATTTGTTTCCTTATTGGTCAGAAGAAAGTGTTCAAAATTTTGCCTATCAAGGGTTTTTTTCTGTTCTTCCCGAAGGGAAGTCTTTAGCTGGGAGAACTCTTTTTCTGCCTAGTTAGATTGCATGTGAAGGAACTGTTCAGTCCAGAAGGACAGAGTTTGTGAGGGAAGGTCAGTGACTGCTCGTGAAATGTGCTATCAGTTATCTAACCGTGGGGCTAGACTGGATGGTGTTGTAGTTATTGCATTCAAATGACCTCAGTACCAGTGTGTGAAGAACAGATGAATAAAGGCCAACTTGTCTCTGAGCTCTTCAGTATCTTCAGTAGGTGGACCACTTGTTTGAGATTATATGCTTCTGGAAACCCAGGGTTGATTATATATAGACTAGAGACCTTGCAGTACTGAATCTTGAAATGCTAACGGGTTGCTGATTCTTTTATTTACTGACTGTGTTGGGAAGATCAGCTTCTATAATGCATCATAATTTGAATCTTCTCAGCCCAAGGATGTCATTCTGATCTCCTGCCGAAGGTTTGGCTTCCTGCCTAAAGCCATGAGAACTTTAATCTGAGCATTTTTTTGTTAGTTTGCCTAATCCTTATGTTAGTCTTAGAAAGTTAATTTTTTCTCTGTCCTTGCAGCTCATGGATGTTCTCATCTTATAAAACCACAAGTTTTTCAGGGCCGCAGATAGAGGGATTGTTTGTGAACTCATGCCTTGTCATTGGTAAGTAAATGGAATGTCTTGTCTGTAGATTCGTGTGAAATGTATTGAATACATGCCTTAGAGATCACTGTAAAATTTTCAGTTATTCCTTGGTTGTGGTTGGTTTTTGTTCTGGGTTTAGAAAGTTATAATTTTTGCAGTTTGTGGCCAAGCTCCTTTTACATTATCTGAAAAGGCTTTTGTTCTTTTGTGGTATTCATCATTTCTGTAATTTGTGCTGAATTAAACACTGCTCCATACTTGCCCGAAGTTGTCTGAGAGCACCTAAGTGAACGTTACTGCAGGAAGTCTTTCCCACTGAGAGCTTGTCGGTTACATTCATGCTCTAAAAAGCTGCAGAGGTGAAAGACTGACATTCTTTTGTAAAAGAATCTTCACCCTTGGTTAAGCACTCAGTTCTTAAATATAATTCGAAGGGACCATCTTATTTGTGAATACTACTGAAGTTTGTTCTTGTTAGTCATGTTAATTTGTCCAAAGCTGAGAAAATAACTGTATAAATAAATCTGAATGGGTGATAGGATGAGGCTGAAGAGATTTTTTTGGTAAAGACAGTTACTAAGAATCAGCTGAATTTAGTGCAATACATTTATCATGCATCAAGGTATCTTAGGCTGCACTAGTTACCTATAAAATGACCTGCTGCTTCCCGT